TAATAGATGATTAAAAAATAAAACCTATCGAAATTTATATAACATATCAACAAAGTACTCTCAGCAATGATATCATATGAAGATGTATGGTTGACATGTTTGTGGATGTTTGATTCATTATAATACTGTTATTATAAAAACCTTTTATTAAAATTAACGTTGATGGATTGTGGCAGACACAACAAGTATCTTTGAAAATAACGTCATGTTTTGTTTATTTTTAATTTGGGTTTATGTTCATAACTTGTAGAATATTATAACTGCATCTCGTTGATGTTTTTTTTTAATTATGTAGAATTAATAATATTAGTTGGGTATATATTTTAACATGATGCATAAAAAGCATTATCATAAAGTGTTATATTAATAGCAAATAAACAAAAATTAAAGCTGGCTGACTGCTAAGTAAGTACAGTATGTAATGAAAGTTTGTTTGTTTAAAATACATGCCTAACATATATTATTTGCAGTCCAACCTACAGTTATTGTATTGCGGACATGACCCTTGTAGAATCTAAATTTCATAAGTCTTGCTTAGAAACATTCGTGAATAAATTATTTTCATTACACGGGCGACCTTGTGTATCAATGCTAATGAAAATACTGATTTTAAATTCAGCCATTCATAAAACTTTTCTTTTAGCAATGCCAATTTCATCAACGAAAGAATAAAATCGTACGCATATTCCATACAAAACACGAGTGGTTACAATGTTACAGCTCTTCAGATATATGAACTGATCAAAGCCTATTCCCCAGTGCATATTGTGCATAACACTATCCATGCAAATGGATATGGCCGTATGCACCTGTGTGCGTACTACGAGTATAATTTCAACACTGATTTCACGATCTGCGTGCGAATGCGACCGGTTGATCCGACAGATAGGAGATTAATTTGTCTGAGTGCCGTATCATATTGCATTAACATTTTTTCTGTATTGCATTATGTTAATCTCTAATGTCGATTTTGTCGAGTGGTTGATTTTGTTCATTATGACACATAAAATAATTTTGTATTATTATCGTTTCATTGCTTTAATGTTCAACAAGCCTTGATTATAATTTATTTATAATTCAAATTTAGCAGAATTTGATTATTTATAAATGTTTCTTTGAAGAAAACACTGCATAATGGTCTTATGGACCCCGATCGGAACGAAGTTCCTTTAGCTCTTTAGTAGAAGTTTGCTATAGTGTCGGAAAAAGTCTTGTTACACATTTTTCGGTCTCGGTCCCATCCGCTCAGAGCGTGTAACGCGCGATAAGGAACTTCGTTCCAAAAATGTCAAATTATTGTGATTAATTGTCGAAAGAATCTTTTTAAGCTTATAATATTATACTTAGTTGATTAATTATCTTGAAAGTTTAATGTAATATAAAAATGTAGTATTCAGGCTGTTGAATAAATATTATGTGTAAACTATAATATTACTTATTTTAGTATCACTAAAGGAATTTGAACTTCTTAATGTTAGTTGTTAGAATGCCTCTTAGATGCAAATATGGAGTCTATTCTCTCGGAGTTTTACTCTCTCTGTGTCTTCTCATGGAAAAGGACATGGTGAAGAGTAAAAGTTAATAAAAAAATGGTTGCTTACAATATTTTTTTAGAGAATATAATTTGGTTCTTGTATGAATGAAAGTACCTTCTTTTGGTGAGTATGCGAAAGCTCTCCTTAGGTAATCGATCCCTTATCTCTTCTTAATTGGATTAGTAGAAGCTGATAGAGGTTTTATCCTTTGAACTAAACGCTCTGCTCCTTTTTGTTTAAAGGTATTGTAGTTTAAACTATGTGCGGCCTTACTTTTCTAGTTAATTATAACCTAGAATAATAAAGAGAGTTGTATAGGATTCAGTAGAATAATCATTATTCAGTATTTTTTTGACTTCATCATTCCTTTCTATGTATAATATGTATGAATGTTATTTACATAATAAAGTTATATAAGTATTCTATCAGTCAACTATCTTTCATAGTCCAAGCTTTGCTTATTTTGAAACTAGATGGCTTTGTGTGTTAGATGTCCAAAAATATTATATTAGATTACTTTTCATCACGGTAGTTATAGGACAAACGCCAACCCACAACTCTATAAAAAGCTATTACAGCGGAATAGTGAATACGTAGATTAAGATAGGTTTATAAATATTATATACTATTCTTACTATAGGATTGAAAATAATATCCCTGTAGTAATATTATTCGCTTTGGATATGGAAAGAGCACTATCGAACGGGAACGGTACACGGTAGCTCACATTGGCTGACACTTGATTAGGTCCATGGTATGTCAAACTAGGAGTGTTAAATTTGTATTAGTAGGAGTTACCTAATTTTTAAGGTAGGTGAACTAAGTTTTGCACTTATTCACGATTAACATCATTTCAATATGTAGCTAAATTAATTTGTATGTTTAGGCAGTAAATAAAAACATTTTAGACTTTCTGTCAACCCTTTTATCATTGAATCATAATCTAAATGAAACCTAAAACGAACTGAATTGTTCTCAGTGAAGTAAAAAGCATTCTTGGAAAAGAACTTGGAATCAAAACGAATATCCCTTAGCATATTTGTGAGAGCAACGATTCTTCTATACTATCTATTTCTGCAATTGATAATTTTTTGTCAAATTAATTTCATTAAACTATTACATTAAGACTATGTTCATTCAATTATCTACTAAACGTTAAGTCAAATACTGTAACTCTAATTTATCTGACAACTTCATCTATAATTGGAATTGGTACTAAAACTAAATTCCAATAGTCAACGGGGCAGTTACTTTGTAAGGCGTGACGTGGCGTTTTGTAATTCTGATGCAAGACACGCACGGAAGATGATACGTGATAACAGGAAAATCTCCCAATTGCTTACGTGTTCAAGCTCGGGCCGCCGTGTTACCGACTTCGCCCACTAACCGAGCATTGAATAACTCCGGTTATAAATTAGGCGCGATCGGCTGATAAGTGAGTTCGCAATGTAACGCTTTTTGCTTGTGCTTTACGCAGGTGAGTAGACTTTATCGATGATTGAATTGATACATGTCGTGAATTCGTAATCGAGCCCATTCGGCGCTTTCAGAATTGTGAGAAAATTTGTTAAAAAGTTTTTTAGTGATATCGGTGATTCGGGTGCTGAATAAGAATGATGAAAGTAGACGACGTAAGGGAAGAGTTTCAGAATTTTCAATTTTGGAGTAATTTGCGTTTGATTGAATTCGTTATTTATATACTATATCCTTAATATTAACTTGGAAGTTTTTAAACAGGTGCACAAACTGTATATCTTGATTAATTATAATAAAGTTATTAGTCGTTTTTGATAGTTGCTTTCCAGTGTTCTCAAGATGCAGATTTTTTTACTTACAAAATTAGAGAACAATGTAAGTGTGAATGATTTCAAAAGTTGGAGACATACAGTAACTAACACAACTCTACAGGGTCGATAATCAACCACATTCTGTGACACCTGGCAGCGAGAGTGAACATATTACTAGCATGTTATTCCTAGATCAAACTTAAATTTATTAATGTCTCACCTTAGTAACAATAAAGGTACTCGTATTAGTTTGTTACGTATTATATTATAATTGGTTCGCCCTCGCTTTCATATTTACATTTCACTGTATATGGGCAAATATAGATAATATCCAGTAACCTATAAATTTAACCATACGGTACTAACAAACAATGGCATCCAAAAACAACAATCTTCACTGATTTGCACCTGTCTACCTTACAGAAATCAAAATAATGTTTCCTTTTATTTGACTAATTCAATTTATAAAATTTCACTCATAATTAAATTAAAAAAATAATGTGCCGGAGCACTAGGATGATCAAAAATGAACAAAAAGAAACTTGGTCGTCGAACGGCCGTTGAACCCATGAATCGTCAATTTATACCTTAGAAAATGGGCACGAAGAGCCAACCTAACTTTTATGATCTACTAGCTTTTACCCGTGGCTCCGCTCGCGTGTAGGTCGGTTATCGCGGTGAAAAGTAGCTTATGTTACTCGCTGGTATGTACTTGCTATAACTTTGCTTTGCACTAGTGAAATCATTTTCAAAATCGGTTTAGTGGTTTAGGCGAAAGCGTAACTAATAAACAAACTCACATTTATAATATAAGTATGGGAGTATGGATAGTGAAATTATGAAATGATAGCAATTGCAGACACTTTGTATTGATGTGTGTATTTGTAACAAAGTAGTTACTAAAATAAGTAAAGGTAGTGAATCTAGCCAAGGCGTGAAAGGATAATCCTGTAAGTTTAACACTGGATTTATTTTTCTAGTGATCTATCATTATGTTTATTTTGAAACTTGTTGATGATTTTTCTTAACATTTAAAACAAGAAGAAGGTTTAAAAGTACAGCAGTCGTAATTTTTTTTGTAAAATATTGGTCTGTATCAACAAGGAACATAGATCAGCCCAACTCTACCAATTGATAAAAGAGATCAACGTTCAAAGAGATCTTTCAAAAAGCGTGTTTTCCACAGAGATGTAGTGATTGTTTTAGATTTGATGAGACGTCTAGAAAGATGATATTATTTATTTTAGGCGTATATTTTTATAAAAGTATTGTTTAGTATATAAATCTATTTATAAGTTAAGAAAATTCTTTGCATTCTTTTTAAGGGAATATCGCGCATATAGGCATTTTAAATTCGTAATACTTTCTGTTTATATATAGACAAAATAATGAAATGAACCAATTCCTAAATGTTGTAAATTAAATAAAAAATATCCCAAAATAGCTTAAATAAGTTAGAGATTTTTGGTATATTATATCAAAATTTGTCGTGTCCGGGCAATCTACTCTAATCTATCAATGATCAAGTTATACTGGTAATGATATACTAAAAACCATTTTAATTTTTATTTTTATTAATGTATTTAGGTTGAAATTTGACCACCAGGATAGAAGTAACATGACGAGAACGTGCCAGTAAAATGTTATACATAATTACGTTTAAATATATTGTACTTACAATGTACATGTAGCATTATTCTTTTGCTGACAGAAGGTGGGACGCCGTTGGCTGCAATACAGAGGTACGCGCCCATCTCCGACCTCGTCACCTTAGTCAAGTTTACGATTTCTCCTTCCAACGACGTTACTGAGGACAAAAAGCATAATTGTCATAACGCATATGGAGTCGAAATAGTAGTTTTTTTTTACTTAAAATAATTATTATCAATTTTGACTATTTATCACAAAATAAATTTTATTAAACCTGAAATTGTATTATACCAGAAATTTTACAAGTTTGTGTCACACAGTGTTCAATGTGTGTTTGATTTAAAAAATCTTATAGACTACTGATTAAGTCTCTTATAGATATTTTTAACAATTATAACATTTTGTCACATGTTTATTTCAAATCGTCATCATCATCAACAACCTATAACAGTCCTCTGCTTGACGTAGGCCTCTCCTTAGAAAGGAAGTTTTGGCCTACTCTACCACGCCGGCCAAACGGGTCGATATAGGGTTAGTTTCAGGTATTATTTCTCTTTGCAGTATTAGTATTTCAAATAATCTACGCATTTTATTATATTTGAACGTTATTTAATGTACCAACTTATACTCCGTTCAATTTTGCCAAAGTCAACCAACGAAAACCGTTTTGAGCACTATCTAAAGTGCTTACATTACATTTCGCCAGTAACTGTTAGAAAATACTTGCGAACCGCCAAAAGTTGACGGGTTGTGTAAACAAGTACCGTTAGTGGTTCGAACTTGAGCTGTTTTCCTGACACCTTGCTCAAATGGCGACCAAGTACGTTTACAGCCATTATTCAAACAAGAGGATAAAAAGCTAGGGCAATATTTTCCGAAGGAGCTGTACACCGTAGATGGTTTAAAGTGTAGGGCCCTCGACGTGGAGCGACGCTTCGTTAGCAAACAATGCGAGAACAGTGAAAGATGTTAAGTCGTTAAGTTTCATAATTTTTCGGAAAAGTTTGTAAGATGAACGGATTAAGTTCTTTTTTGCATTAAAGAATAATGTATGTTTGACTGTGCGGATGGCGTAGTGGTTTAAGCGGTGGCCACGCTGCTTACTACTACGCTGAGTGCTGTGGGTCCGATACCCACATGGGACAACACTTTATGTGATCCACAAATTGTTGTTCTAAGTCTGGGTGTTCTTTGTGTCTGTTTCGTGTATGTTTGTAAAATCCCACGCGAAACATGATGTATTCCTAATGCGGGAGTTGTCTTTAAACAAATAAAGTTCCTGTTGTACTTTGTGTGAATAATAAAATTAAATCAGTTAATTCTCATTCGCAAATAACCAAAATTTGTAAACATGCATTAAATGTTCTATTTTTTTTCTATTGAAGAGGGGCAAACGAGCATACGGGTCACCTGATGGAGGCGACCACCGCCGCCCACGAACACCTGCAACTCAGGAGTCACAAGTGGTCGGCTTTTAAGGAACGAGTAAATTGTTTTATTTCTCGTATATATATTTTATTTTTGGAGGCAAATTTTCTTAATACTTTTTTTAACCTCCTTTCTAAGGAGAGGCTTATGTCCAGCAGTGGACTATCAAAGGCTGTGATGACGATGAGACTTTTTAGTAATTTAATATGTAACTATTTCATTGATATAAGTATTATTTGTTATGTTGTTGTTTTATTATTTTTGAGTCACTCATTTCGCCTTAGGCCTTGGCTAAATTAAATAAATTTAGTCTATCACCTGAAGAGACAAGTGCAATGATAACAAATAAATTGTATGTTCGCTACTCCTAGTTCCTGTGTAGAGTCCTTGAGACGCACCTTTGAATAAACTTGGCCTGTCGATGTGTCATAAGTCAAGTGACGGTTGAGTCCAGACCCTTGTGGCTCAGCAGACATTTGAAATGTATTAAATAACAATTCAAAAAGTAGTACTTTCAAAATAAACAAATAATTTATCACGCAAACGACACTTTATATTTGACGACCATTTAGGGACGCTAGTAAGAAATACTAGTCTGTATAAATGTAAGTAATGAATAAATACTTCATATAAAATAAAATTTACAATCGTATACTACTGTGTTTCCACAAGTCTCTGTTTTCAGAAAATGACCAATTTTACGTAATGAGAATTAAATATATGGTAAGTTTTTGAATACAAGGAAATAACAATTAAATAATTATTTTATTGAAAAAAAAAATTACAGCAGGAATCACAACCAAAGGTTATTTTGGGTATAATCTGCTTATTTTATTACATGCCAAACTCTCAAATTATTTTTGCGTGTTAAAGATTGTAATAATATTGGTTTTATTGGAACCTTTGAAGTAGGTATGCAGAAATATGGCAAAGTCTAGCACTTCGATGAAATGTTCTCAAGTAGAATGAAAAGTCAACATTTTCACTCCTTATTCTCAAGTTATAATATTAATTACGAGTAACAGTCGTACGGAGTTGGTTTCTATATTTATTTTCAGAACGTTCACTTTTTCAATAAATGGAATCTATTAATTGCAACCATCACGCCAAAGTTGTCGAAACTTTGATTTAGAATCGAGAATCAAAATTAACAATTTATCCAATAATTGAGATTAATAATTCTGGATAACTAAGTAGGTAGTCGTATCTGTTTGAAACTTCATGAAATTGATGAAAAGCGTCGAACCGAAGGATGTTGGAGTTAATTTGAGCCAATCTACGGTTTAGTTTCTACCATTTTCGCTTATCTGTATAATTTGGAGTAGAACATGAAACAAATAGGCACGCGACACGCCGTTGTCACCGCGAACATGTTTTATGCGTAACAATAAAGGGCAAATTTTGAATAATACCCATTGTTGGTGACGCTGTTTTATGTTGTTGCTATGATTATTATAACATACCGTTGTACGTATTTTGTCCCAGAGGAGTTAGTAAATTATGGACGGTTTTGTATTTGATTTAATTTCAAAACAAAAGCTTTTCGCTTACTTATTTAAGGATTATAGAATTAAAAAAAGTCATATAATTTGAATAACTCAAAGCAAAGAATTGAGGAATGTTAACGAAATAAAATTGACGCACACGTATTCGAAATAGCAAACAAATAAAACCGTAAAACAATTTGTTATTTCCACTTGGAATATAACTTTATTTTTTTTAATTAGGGCCACTCGAAATAAAGGCACTGTAAAGCGCTATGTTAGGTTCATCGATGCAGCGGTATCATTTATCTCAGCAATATTAAATTCTTGCACTTAAATTTAATTTATAAGAGTAAAGTTACCCCTGGTTGGAGATAACAAATTAGTAAGTGGTCCATGTACTCATTAAAAAACTATATTAGTAGAGTCGGACGGCTTCTAACTTTACTCATTGGAATATTGGTGAACACGGGCCTACGTAATGGATAGGCTGTATTGTTTCCCGTTCAGATTTATGGAGGTAACTTGTAACGGCTTCTTTAATTAGACTTCTTCACTCAAATTGATGATTGTTATTGATGTTAGTTAATTTAAAATTGGTTCAGGCGGGTTTCACCTTGCTACTTTCAATTACGGATAATTTAGGAAGTTGATGTTTTTGAAAGCTTTTAAAGTGTGTCAGGCTTCATTAAACTTATAAATAAAACAAAGTAACGTTATACAATGGTAACGAAAGTGTATCCTAAAGGTAGTTTTATTAGAATATTAACTTACGTGAATGTTATTTTAGGGGTTTTAAAGAAAAATGTTTGTCAGCGCACGTATATTTTAGGGAATCTGGTCCACTTGAGCTAAAAAAAATTCCCTAAAAAAAAGTAGGAAGAGAGTGCAGATTCTAACCTAGACGCAAAAGGTCACTTAACTTCTTGATAAAGGCCGTAATGGCCAAATTGTTGAGTTGGACTTCCCCAAAACGAACGAACGAATTGATTGTTTTCGTCTGACACGATGCTGAATTGGGTCCGTTTTGAGCACTGATGTTAATTCAAGCTGCAAAATAATTTGTCTATACTTTTTCATGTGTTGCCAAAATAAAAATAAAATATTTCTATAACAACGTCGCAGTTTCAATTAAAGCAAATGAGTTACAAGAAGAAAGGGTATATCACGTTAAAGACAGAAAATGTGTCCCTAAAGTCAAATGTAATGAAGATTTTTAATATTCTGGGTCACTGTTAGAACTTACTAATATTTTTTTTTACTTCTCCTATTAATGTCTAGTGCACCTAGCCACACATTTCAGCACCACCCTAAGGTAGACTGGGAGAAAATGCCTATGGCATTAAGTCCGCCAATGTACAACTTTCACTTGTGCATAAAGAATAAATAAATAAAAAATTAAAAAAAAAAATTGTATTAAACCCTTGTCATACTGTTACCTACAGTTTGATTTTAGAATCATATTAATAGCGTTAGTATAAGAAAGCAAGAAGTTTAAAAAAATATTGTTGTTATCAGGTTATTGCAAGGTTATTTTAAGATAGGAAAGAGGCAGACAATCCAAAACTACATAAAGTTTTTTATGGTATAGGGTGGTAAACAAGCAGACGGGTCATCGGGAGGTAAGTGACTACCGCCGTCCATGGATACTTGCAACTCAAGAATCCCAAGTGCGTTGCCGCCATTTTCAGTCTCTCAGTCATAAATATTGTGCAGTATAACAGGATGTTTCGTTTCATTCCTGATAAAATAACAAAAGTAGTTTAATTATGCGATATAAGGTACTAATCTAAAATTAATATTATGTATATAACAAAAGTGTAAATCTACCTCACTGACCTACACTTGACGGAACTGGCCTATTTTGAATTGACGAGGTCTAATACCCGCAATTTTTTTTTGGACACTGTGTAGATTATACACTGTGCTATTTTGTATTACAAATACAAGATAGCACATATTTTTACAGCATGTCTTTTAAACTAAAAACGCCATAAGTATGAATTAATCTTATTTATCGAATGTACAGAATTGAAAAGGTCTAGTGTATGCTTTAATCTTAGCATAGTATTCAAGTGCTCGGTTCGTTGTGAAAGTCATTACCGGTAGTACTTTGTTAGCTTAATGAATTGACTGATGGCAAGAGGAGGTCTGAACAGTGGTAGGGTTAAGTGGGACCTGCTGATTAATCACCCTGTCAGTACAGTTTCCAATTGCCACTCGTCACGAACTCCCTTTGTGCTTA